ACTAGTGGAGTATACAGATATAAGCAGTAAATATATAAAGGTAGGATAAAGGAATTATGTTATTTCCACTATTTAACCTTGTTTCAGTGTTCATCACCTTTCTATATAGTAGAAATACTATTACTGCTAAATAGTAGCAGTTTTAAGTAGTAGACATAGGGTTTTTTCTGTTTAAACCCCAAAAAATGTAAAACATTGTGGTACAGTATTTATGGAATTAGTGATAATGTGAAGTTTTGTACAGATGGCCAGATGTTCTTATACTGAATTACAAGATGATCTTTGAAATATTCTCCCATCATTTTCTAAATTTTCAAAAACTGATGGAAAATGGTTAGGTTGTTATCCAACAAGAGGCCTATTCAAGGTTTGTTTGTTTGTTTGTTTGTGAGCATCAATATAAAAATACAAAATGTAAATATTCTGGATTATAGCAATATTGTTAATATACAAATAAAAAAAATATTACAGCTACAAATACACCATAGTCAATGGGACAAAAAAATATGCAACATACCAAATTAAAAATGTAATGCCGTCAATACACTTGTATGTGAAAGTTCATAGTTGACACTTGAGGTAACATAATTGTAAACATCTGTGGCATCATTAAAGTAAACACTGAAGTCTTAAATGTGAGCTGTGTTATGAAATACTGAAGAGAATGCAAGAAAATACTACTTGGTTTTAGTCATGGGGATATGTGTGATGCTCTCTTGACATCAGACTGTCCTATGCTGTTTTCAGAGTATTGTGCGTGTAGTTTTCCATGACCGGCGGCTGCAGTACACAGAGCATCAGCAGCTGGAGGGATGGAGGTGGAACCGACCAGGAGACAGAATCTTGGATATAGGTGGGACCTGCTTTCCTAATAAAGGACCTTTCTAAAGGACCATCTTGCCAACATTTGTTTTCAAACTGCATTGTGGCAAACATATGTCATGATTTACAATGTCCAACTTGGTATGTTCAGATATCCCGTTGTCAGTGGGCATAATGGAGCCTCGAGCCCACCCACTGCAGCTCAACACCATAGAGTTTCTCTGGGATCCTGACAAAAATGCCTCCGTGTTCATTCAGGTGCACATTTTATCTCTCCCTGACCTCCATACTAGTTTTCTAAACTGAGTAACACCGGTGGTAACTTTTCTGTTTTATTATATCCAGGTAAACTGCATCAGCACTGAGTTCACTCCTAGAAAACACGGTGGAGAGAAGGGTGTCCCCTTCCGCATTCAGATAGACACCTTCTCAGCCGGCGAGCACGGAGAATACACTGAACACATGCTCTCTGCCAGCTGCCAGGTCAAAGTCTTCAAGGTAGAGCATCTTTTAGACTCTTAAAAGATAACCAATACACAATGAAAATGTGTGAAATAACTGTATTTATTTATTTTGATGTTACTTTACTCACCCTCACGTCATGGCCTGCATGCATTTTTTCTTCTGAGGAACACAAAAAAAGATATTTTGAAGAATGTTGGGGACCAAACAACATTGGCCCCATTGACTGTCATTTATATGGACAACAAAAAAACACAGACATTTCTCAAAATACCTTCTTTTATATTCCACAGAAAAAAGAAGGTCATACAGTTTTGTAACAAAATGAGGGTGAGTAAATGATTACAGAATTGTCATTTTTGGGTGAACTATCCCTATGATTTTGTTCTCTCTCCTTAAGCCGAAAGGCGCAGATCGCAAACTCAAGACTGACAGAGAGAAGATTGAGAAAAAGAGTCCTCAGGATAGAGAAAAATATCAACCATCCTATAAAACGACAGTGCTGACTGAGGTGAGACATCTGCCTTGGTAGCATTCGAGCTTGTTTGTGTCATCAGACATCATAATGTCATTTCATACAGCTGTATTGTTGCCTTCCATAAAACAGAATGTCTGAGAATATCCTCTTTCCATGCAAATAAATTATATCTTGATTTATACAGCTCGGAAAAAAAGCACCATGCAGTACATTCCATAAATGTTCATTTTCATGCAAAGTATTTTTCTTAATACTGATAATCTTCAGTATGTAATATGTAATTTTGTATTTCATGTAAGACAGAAAACAATACAGTATCAGAACAGTAAGTAAATTATGACAATTTTCACTTTTAGCTGAAGTATCTGTCCATATGTTAATGATTGCGATCTTTCAAGCTAGCGGTCTACATCAAACATCTATAACTACTGAATTTTCCATGTCTCCTGTGAGTGCCTCTTTACTTTGACTGGCCATAGTGAAATATTAAGCTCTCTCCCACAAGTAAGATGTGAATAGAATTCACATGATTGCTTGTTGGACCGAAGAAGCCCATATTGAGAATAAGGTCAAGAGGTGGGGCCGAAACCGCCACCTAACATAGGTAAACTATTTCTTTTTCTTTCAGTGCTCCCCTTGGCCTGAAGCCCCATCAGTCAGCAGAACAAGCAACACTCCATCTCCTGGTTATCACATTGCTCACACTTCTTACAGCTTCCCAGAAGAGTGAGTCTTTATTCAGTAGGAAATCACACCATGAATACATAAACGTAACTAGCAACTGCTCTCCTGTCTTATTGTGTTTATAGAAACTGCTCTCCAGACCAGCAGGGGGACCTACATTTGCCCAGCTGTTCTGATGTAAGCGGGCAGGTTAAAAACATTAATGTCATGCTCTCTTATCTTTATAGGTTTGTATTTGAGGACATGGTGATGCTATTCTTCTTCTTTTTGCCATGTAGCACCTGTTGCCATCGTCCTCCATGCAGGACACGCAGCAGTGGCTCCATGGTAATAGGTTCTCCTCTTTCTGCAGGCTCTTCTCTGGCTTCTCAGGTGGGCTGAAATATTCAGTGAGAATTACAGCTATTGACTTGGTTACAAATTCTAGCAAACTGCCTACTAAGGCACCATGTTTATAAAAAGTTTTTTTTTTTGTATTTAGTAGTTTAGAGTTAACATGTTGCTAAATTAAGAACTTGTGATACACAGATAAGCATAAAATGCACTGAGCACACAAATATTGGGTAAACAGCCGATTTTTAATTGAATTTTGTCTATTTTTTTTTAAGTATCTAACAGATAAAGTATACACTACCATTCGTAGGTTTGGGGTAACGGTGTTCTTTTATACTTATAGAATTCGGGGGAAAAAATTATATCACAGATATCAGAAAAATATCACAGTTTCCACAAAAATATTAAGCAGTACAACCGTCTTCAACATTAATAATAATAAGAAATTATTCTTGAGCACCGAATCATGTGGCACTGGATCACGTGACACTGAAGACTGGAGTAATGGCTGCTGAAAATTCATCATTAAATTACATTTTAAAATGTAATTGCTGCTTTAAATATTTCACGATATTACTGCTTTTACTGTATTTTGATGTAATAAATGCAGCCTTGGTGAGCATTAGAGACTTTATTCAAGAACATTTACAAAGTAAAAATAAAGTTAAAAATGTACACTTTTGAATAGTGATTGTGAAATTTTATAATCAACATTTTTCTCACTTCACCCACAGTAATAACATACTACGCGTTGAAACAGAGCCATTGTGTTCTACTAGAAATGACTAGAAATGTCACCATTTTAAATATTATACTATTATTTGAGCTGCTTTGTTAATGTTTCAGGTTCTGATCTGCTAAAAATGAGTAGAGAAGATTTCATTCAGATCTGTGGTCCTGCTGACGGCATCCGTCTTTTCAATGCAATCAAAGGAAGGTGAGCTGTATATTTGTTCACACACTTGCTATTCATCCTAACATGTGTCCAAACATGTACCCAACATGTCTGTGTCAATGTTACCCAGGTGTATACAACCTCGTCTCACTGTCTATGTATCCCAGCTACAGAACAGGAACCAACTGCACACCAAAGCAGTGGGTGAGGATGGTAGGAGACGTCACAGCATCCTTTATGATAGTTGTGACAGGCAAAACAAGTGTTACTTCTATTCTTAATTCTCTAATTGTTTTTGTCTGTAGTGTACCATGCTCTCTACCTAGAGGACCTTACTGTCCTTGAGCTCACTGAGAAGATAGCCAATCTATATAATGCTCCCTCACAGCAAATCTGTCGCGTATACAGACAGGGGCCGACGGGGATCCACGTCTTGGTTTCAGATGAGGTAAGAGGGCAGAGAGTGCTTAAAATTGAGTCCGAACATTCCAGAGATTACAGATCATTTGCGAAATGTTGGTTATATAACTTGTCCAAGGAGTAGTTCATCCAAAAGTTTGGGGTTGGTAAGATTTTTTTAATTCTATTGAAAGACGTCTCTAATGTTCAACAAGGTTGCATTTAGTTGATCACAAATACAGTAAAAACAGTAATATTGTGAAATATTATTTTAAATAACTTTTTTCTATTTTAATATATATTCATATATTAAAGTGTAATTTAATCCTGTGATGGAAAACTGATTTTTTTTT